AAAGAAAAAGCGAGCAAAGCGAGCGCGAAGCACGCGCGGGTGGGGGGTGGGGTTTGCGAGCGAAGAGAGCAGGAAGAATAGAGAGGCTGTAGACATCTTTGATAAAAAGTGGACTTATTAGGCTCCTCCCCCTGTCATCGCCTTGTTACTAACAGCTCCATCCCTTGACCAATTAACGAAATCGGAACAATAAAATTTGAGCGTTAAATTGCTTGTTTAATTGATTACAAGTGTCTGTTTGCAAACAACATCACGTACGTGTGTTCGTGTGTCGAAAATGTCGTCTCAGGGCCTTTTCATATGAGCCCGGTCAACCGGGCTGGGTCGTTTTCCGAGATCTCGCCTCGCCACTCTTTCCTTCGTAAAAATTTCGATGCGTTCATATGAGAAGCCAGGCTGATTTTTGATTTTTTTCCCATTTGAACACTCCAGCCTGGGTAACCGGGACGCAACTTTTTAGACGAAATAGCTTCGCTTTCACAACATAGCGGCTAAAATGACATAATTTTTGCCTTGTATGTATTTCCACTTTAGGAGTAGGCGAATTAGCATTGTTAGTAATGTTACAAGAGTCCACAAAGCTGCGACAGCCGCGAACGATACAAGTTTATGTTCCACCGTTTTGGTTGTGTTTCTTAGATTTTATCCCGGTAGACCGGGCTGAAATTTCCCATATGAACAGACAACAAAATTCGTCCCGGTAACCGAGGCAGCCCAGTTACCGGGCTCATATGAAGAAGCCCTCAGACGACTTCTTCAACTCCAAGACGAGTTTAGCAAAGCCCATGAAAATTGCAATCGTAATTTCTTGACACGTGCGCGTCACGTTCCACTTTCTTGAAAGGGCTGTCGAACAACAAGCAAATGCATCGCTTTGAAGTCTCAGATTGGCGCTTAACTTGTCGCTTTGATTTTTATTCAACCTGCTGATATTCCTTGGAGTTAATAAGCCTATTAATTCTTTAGCTTTGATACCAGCGTAGCAGACGTAATTAGCGAGGCATTGACAAGGCCTGACAATGGGCTCTAAGCGATGAGGCTTTTGTTTAGTCTTCGACCCTGGTTGATTTTGATTGGTTTTCTATTTTTACTTTTTCAGCATTTCCCTTGTTTCTTTTGCCTCTTCTTTGTGCAGGAAGTTTATTTGTGGATATTGTTCCTTGTATTTTTACGAGTCATCATTACCGCATACAATTATTTAGGATATCTTTAAGTTATTAAATACCGTGAGAACTTTTATTCTTTTTTTTTTTTCATAACTTCGACGGGGAAAAAAA